CTAAACCCTAAAGGTGCCTCTATAGAAACCAGCAGGGAAAGTCCAAAGTTTCCCAAAGTGCCGCCTATGCGTTTGACAGGGGTCTTTTGGAGCTTCACTGTGTGGAGTCGAAGGGGTTGTGAAAAACAGAACTCGGTCTCCAAAGCGGGTTCCCTGCTGTTCAGGGGGGGATGGGTTTCAGGTTCAGGGTTCAGGGTTAAGGGTTCAGGGTTTCGGGTTTAGGGGTCGGTAAGCATCTGGGGCCTCTAGAGCGGAAGACGGATCGTCATAGCCTATCGAATTAAGGTGGGCGTGAGGAGAAGCAGGAGCCAAGTTTCCGGACCTTCATGGGAAGTTAAGCCTGACATATCGCTGTCCCTGAACTTTTCAAGTTGCCCTGAAACCCTAAACCCTAAACCCCTAAACCCTAAACTCTAAACCCTGAAATGTTTGGGGCTTCGGGCTTGGGCAAAGCCAAGGTGCAGGAGGTAGGTCATCACCTGTCCTTTGCCCTTCATCTCCTCGGGTTGGGGCGTGGTTAGGGTTTAGGGTTTAGGGTTTAAGAGATACAGGGTTCGATTCTGCATATAGTCATAACCCCTAAACCCATATACCCTGAAGCCCTAAACCCCTGAAACCCCTAAACCCCAAACCCCTAAACCCCTCGAGATCCTTATATAGCCAGGTAGTCTCCATATTAACCCCAACAACCTACAAGGGCCCCTATAAAGGGTCCCCTCCTAAAGCCAATAGATAGATCCTAAACCCCTCTAGATCCTTATATAGCCAGGTCTCCCTGTTAACCCCGATTAAGGGTCCCCTCCTAAAGCCAATAAATAGATCCTAAACCCTGAGCCTTAAGCCCCTAGCCTTCATCTTCAGACTTTCGGGAGCTCCCGATTTCCGAAACTCCATCCTACCCAGCCTGCGCCGAGCCCGGAAGGAAGGGTGTCGGGTTAGGGTTTAGCGTTTGGGGTTTGGGGTTTAGGGTTTAGGGTGTGGGGTTTAGGGACCCAAACAACAACCGACATCTGCACAGCAAGCCCAAGCTAGCGTTTGGGCGTTGATAGCCATGACTGTTTTTTTTCAAAAATGAAGATCCCTGCAAAAATACGAGGGTATGCCGAAGCAGGTCCTCTCTTGGGCCTAGGGTGTGCAGGGCAGTATGGTGACATATGGGGGTTCCGAAAATAGGGGACCTTCATACAGTACCCTAAAAAAGTAGGATGCTTGTTGCAAGGACCCCAAAATAAGGTACCCCTTGTTTTCGGAAACTCCCATATGATCATATCCAACAGTATCTGATTAGGCAATACTTCGCATGCTGGCTTGAAGAGCTGCTTGCATGAAGCTCCATGCTCGCCTACAACCCCTCATAGACCCCTTCGAAAACCCTATTCCAGTACTATAGTAGTACTATAGTAGGGCTATAGTATTAGTATAACGGTATAACGGTATTTTTATGTAGTGGTACTTAATACTACTATCATCCTTCTTTAGGGTTTAGGGTTTAGGGAAACTCCATTCGAGGCATTCAGACCCCTGCATGCTCACTGCCGCGGAGTCGCGACCCAGCCGCGAGACTGAGCTATAGCCCACTGAGGCAGGTACCTGAAAATCTGAAGAAGGCTCGTTTAGGGTTTAGGGTTTGGGTTTTTTAGGGTTCTTGACAAAGGCTCTTTGAGGGTTGACAGCTCCAATAAAGGGGCCTCGAATAATTAAGAATAGGGTGTTGCATAAGGGCGTCTATATAAGGGTTACTGCACGAGTTTAACACGGAGGCCTTGATAACTATTGTAGCTGTTGAACGATGTTTTATAGGGTTCTATAGTATCGCGTATGATAGCGGCATTGTTTTTCAGAATAGCTAGGGTTGCACAAGCGGGCGTTGAAGGTTTACTGTATACGGGTTCGATAAGGGTGTTATCGGGTACCACTGGGTTTCATGTAGGAGCCTCGACAGTTGTAATTGGGTGTTGGCGGATGTTACAGCATGGTTATATAAGAGCTACCATGGAGAATACCTCGGGACAAGAAAATCAAAGTGTTGGTGCATATTTATTCAGGCCCTTATCTTCTGTGCGGAGCAAGCGTCTGCTTCGTCTCTTCGCCGAACTGCACCTGGGAGGGTGGTCCGCAGTACAAGCCTAACGTCTTTAAACCCTCGCACCCTGAAACCGCGTACACCCTAAACCCTAAGCCCCAAACCCAGGGTTCAGGGTTCCTAAACCCTAAACCCTAAACCCTAAACCCTAAACTCTGAACCCAAGAGCCCCAAACCCTAAACCCTCAAATAGTCTCACACCAACTCTTCTTGGGAACCCTGACATGGACCTTTCCGAAATTTGGGGGTACCTTATTTTGGGGTCCTTATAATAAGGATCCTATTATTTAGGATACTATATTAGGGTCCCCTATCTTCGGAAACCCCCACATGGACCTCGGCTCCCGGCCTCACCCGGCAAACTTTTCTGCATCATCCTTTCAGGAGCTCGTGTGGGTTTTCAGGGCTTAGGGGTTCAGAACTGAGGGTTTCAAAAATCCGGGCGTCACTGAGTTTTCTGAACTTGCGTACAGCATAATTCTTAACACTCCTAGTTTTCTGATTGTTCTTATGGCTCTGATTGGGCTCGTCACTCCGAGCATTACTATCACTGCTGCTGTGCTATTGTTGGCACCAGTTCGAACTTAATAAAAAGCCGCTGGGCCTTCGCAATCCGCGAGAACCAAGTCTGAAGACCAGAAACCAAAGCAGCCTGTAATGATGTAGTATGAGAGTATCGCACAATGTAGTATAGAGAAGAAATAGTCTAATATATGAAGTACAGTACTATCCTACCTCCGATTACCTGGCCCCTTAATCCCGAAGCCCTTGACCAGGGGGCAGAGTCCTTGCGGCCATGTTCATTGTGTCCCCAAAAAGGCGGAAGCGAGGAAGCCTGATGGCACAAGGCCACTTTGAGCTTGGCGTCCAGACATGGAAACGATTCTTGCTGTTGTGACCAGTCTTCGGATATATGCGTTCGGTCAGAACATGGGGGCCTCAATCATGAGTAGCCACCCGACATTGCTGATTCTTTTAAACTAGGAGTTTCACTAGGGGACAACCTGACATCTCGAGCTCTTTCGAAGCTGCAACTGGACAGGTCATGGCATGAGGACTCATCAAAAATCGGTAAAGAGGAATAGGCGTCATCTTACAGAGAACCATACGCGCTGAAGTACTCAATCCCGGACCCTCTGCAACCTGGAACCCGAAGGACGAGTGCAAAAGCCTGGAAACCCATAGAGCAATCACATAGATCTCAAATCCTGGGAATAAACCGTAACTTCTTACATCATGACGAGAACCCCTGGGCCCTGAACCCCCCCCCCCTTCTGAAGCCCTGATACCCTTTCAAAAACACCATAACCCAGATACGTACCACGGCTTCCCTCTAATTCGGTGCTGCGGGCCTGCGGCCAACGACCCCAGCAACCACCGGCCCGGTGTGAATGCCCATCTTGACCTGTCGAGAGAGTTAGGGTTTAGGGTTTAGGGTTCAGGGTTTAGGGCTGAGGGTTTAGGGTTTAGGGTTTAGGGTTCTGGGTTCTAAACTTTATGGGTATGATAAGGCTAGTTCTAGTTAGGGTCCTTTGTCAAGGTATCTATGAACCCGTGATTGAAGGCATAATTTTTGGCTAGGGATATTGCTGTTTTTGAGTGCATCTTAGAGATTTGGGGCTTACGGTTTAGGTTTAGGGTTCCAGAATTATGGTTTGAGTATTAAGAGTTTGGGGGGGGGGGGGTTCCTGGGGTTCGGGGTTGGGGTCGCCATGAGTATCAGTTTTCAGGGTTCCGGGCTTTGGTTGAACCATTTAACTTGGGGTCCCCTTTAGGGTCCTTTTTGATAAGGATGCCGTACTATGTTTGAGAGCTTCAAAAGGGACCCGAACTGGCTGAAAAATCTACGTCGCCGGATTCATGGATCCTCGCTTCCGTCACGAATAGCATGCCAGTAGACCTGGCCCCGCATGTAAATCATGTCGCCTTAGGGCTTAGGGTTTAGGGTCCTTAAACCCCAAATCCAAAATTCACACCCCAAACCCCAAAAAAATCCAAGCCACAGACCCAAAACCTCCGAAACCCGAAACCCTAAAGGCGCGGGCAAGCGTCGAGAGGCGTGTCCTGGGACCTCGGCAGCTGGAAGAAAACGATCCAAACAGGCTCAGGGGAAATCGGGGTATTGGGCTCCATAAAGTTTAGGGTTTAGGGTTGACGGTTTAGGGTTTAGGGTTTTAGGGGGCACAACAACAAGGTCCCAAGGTTTCAAGAACAATTGTCCGCCGCTAGGGGTCAGGTTAGCTTCCGATTCAGCGTTATGGGTGGACATTTGGCGTTTCTTCAGGGCCTTAAACCCTAAACCCTAAACCCTAAACCCTAAACCCTAAAGCCTAAACCCTAAGGTTTGTTAGGGGACCCGGGGCTCGGTGCAGGAACCCGAGGAAGGGTTTAGGGTTTAGGGTTTAGGGTTTAGGGTTTAGGGTTTAGGTGACTATAAGGCTTCTACAATGTATGGGGCCTTAATCCTTAGAATGGGTTTTGGGCTCCTGTATTATGTAGCTATCACAAGGAACTTTAAGGAGTAAATGATAAGTTTTGGGCTCCTTTGTTGTATAGCTATCATAAGGAACCCTAAGGAATCAATGGTAGTGGTGGTTACTTAGGCGGACCCTAAAACCCTAAACCCCTAAACCCTAAACCCTAGATTATGACCCCAGCGGCAGCACTCACCACCCTTCGAGTCGACTGAAGGATCCTGCTCCTAAGCCCGAAGCCCCAAACTCAACGAAAGCCTAAAACCCTAGAGATTTCGCCTAGGGCAACCAGACCCTACACTTTAAACCTGCCCTAAGCCCGACCCCCAAGAAAAACAAAAGCAAACTTAAAGCACCCTTGAACCCATAAAGTGCTAAAACCCTAAAACCCTAAACCCTAAAATCCTAAAACCTCCTGAAAACTCCAAATCTCACCAAGGGACGCGGACATCGTCTGAAGCTCGAAAGCCACGCCCAAGAGACGGGCCAGGCAGTTGCTGTGGCCGTGCACGTGATCCTCTCTATTATGGGCTCCCCATTGAGGGCTCCTAGGGTCTTTTTTTTGTTTGAGCCCCTTTTTCCTCCCGCAGCGTCCAAACTACAGTCAGAAGGTCGCAGGACCAGGGGTGGGCGGCCAAGGGTTTAGGATTTAGGGTTTAGGGTTCGGTAAGACTTCTATAAGGGTTCTGTAGGGGCTCCATTAAGGGTTCCACTACGTAAGGGTTTTACAGCGCATCTTTAGCGGTTCTTTCAGGGGTCTTTGAGGGTTCATTAAGGGTTCGGGTTTTTCTTAAAGGTTCCCTAAGGGTTCTTGACGGATCAAAATTCGGGTGTGATAGGGGATGCACTAAGAGTTCTTTGTGGGCTTCGTCCATGGCGACCTGCTCATTTCACCCAGGCCTTCTAGACGGGTCTTAGAACTGCGACGGGAAGCATCGAGCAAGAAATCTCCCCTTGAGGACGCCTTGACGGGTGAACCGGCCGCCTAATTGAGAATAATTGGGGTGGTTGGGGCGGGACTACGTGCTGACACAAGCGCGCGATTAGTGGGTGCGCACATAGTCCTAAAGTAAACGGCGCACCCACCGTGCGCACACGGTCTACACACCTTAAACCCCAAACCCTAAACTCTAAGAGATTTCTTCCGAAATCTCAGGGGTCCCAAAGTTCAGGATTTAGGGGTATTATGCCGTAGGATTTACAGTACCACCTACCCGAAACGCTCTATTCTCATCATTAAGGCACCCTTCCTGCCCTACATTTGCAAACCCTAAACCCTAATCCCTTAACCCTGACTCCTAAACCCCACATCGTACCCCCTACAGCCCAAAACCCGAGTTCGTAACTATTCGGACCCCCCTGCCCCCAATGGCAGCACAAAAGACCTCGAAGCCTTAAGCCCTAAACCCGTAAACCCAAAACCTTAAAACCCTAAATCCCTAAACCCTAAACCTTAAGACCCTAAAACCGAAACCCTAATACCCTAAACCCGGTCCTCGTCCTGATCGGTTGGCGAAACGCCAACCCCACAAACGTATTCCTCGCCTGAAAAGTGAGGAGGAAGCTGTATAGGGAATAAGCGTTCAGGGTTTGGGGCGTTGGGCTTAGGGTTTGGGGTTCAGGGTTCAGGGTAGGGTTTTGGGTTCAGGGTTTAGGGTTTAGGGTTTGGGGTTTAGGGGGAAGGTTTCTTGGTTTGGGCTTTAGGGTTTAGGGTTCTTGATAATTAGACTAGGGCCCCTTTGAGGGGTTACTATAAGGGCTACTATAAGGCTTCTAGAATGTAGGGGCCTTAATAACTGGAATAGGGCAGGGTTTTGGGGGCGTAGTATGTTACAGGTATGATGAGGAATCCCCAAAGTAGTATTGGTAATTCTTTGTAAGCCCCTGCATTACCCTTTAGCTTTGTGATATCTTCACGGCCTGTTGGTGAAGGGTCCTAGAACGGCTTCAAGAAAGCTTGTTTAATTGTAGAATCCAGAGACTGCAAAACCCTTCTCGCCAGAACCTACCTTAAATCATATAACGCCGGAAGTTTTGGGGCGGCGCAGGGTTTTAGAGTATAGTTACAGCGTTTGGGGTGAGGGTTTAGGCGGAGCTTTGGGGTTTCGAGCTGAAGTTGAGGTGGCTCGGGGTTTAGGCTGTGGGGTTTACCTTGGGGACCAAATGACCCTTATAAGTTGGGTTCGTCTTTAAGGTAAGGTTTAAGGTTGGGAGGGCCCTCGTGCTAGGCCCCCGGCCGACAGTCTCGATCTTTGTCACGCCATGCTGTGCCTAGCACGTGGAGCGCGAGAGGCGCAACATGAAGCAGCGCTTAGCACTGAGGCTTTTAGGGTTCAGGGTTCGAGGGCCCTCTTGGCAACAGCGCAGCTCAATACTTGGGTAGATTGGTGTTTTTGATTCTTCTGGAGTCGTCACTTCAAAGAGCTTCAGCATTCAACCGACGACGACCCTTCGCTTGAAGGTTTAGGCTGTAGGGGTGTGTCCGTAAACCATTTCTCCGAGTTGCGCAAATCACGTCGATGTTGGTAAACGTTTCCTTGGCCCGGCGAGAGAAAGCATCCAGGCGATCAAGCAAAATGGCATATTCCAGCTGGATGGCTCGAACCCTCCTGGGAACCCCTGCAAAGTCCTTGTGCACCCCATATAACCCTGTAAATAGAGCCTCGTATACAAAGACACCAAATCTACCTCAAAAAACCACAGGCAGACTCCTTCAAGGGAAAGCCAGCATGCTGTCTGCTAAGAGGCAGGCAAGCAGCATTCAAGAAGTGGAAAAGCTTCGAAGGACTCATGCTTTGCGAGTACTTGTCGAAGTCCAAAAGGACGATGAAGAGGATTGATACCCGATCGACGCCTCAGGAAGGCGGTCGGGGTCATGGCCTTCTAGAAGGGGGCATTGAGAATGAGACTAGGGCTAATCGGGTATATAGACAAGTATGTAGTGGACTATGCGACCGCCGTGTGTTATAAATTGCCAAGGCCCGTCTATTAGTCCGGCGGAGCTTACCAGCTTCTCTAAAAGTTGTCCTTTTCAGGCGGCTTTTCAGAGTTTAGGGTTTGGGTTTAAAAGCTGTCTGGGATTTGAGGTTGCGGGGTTTGGGAATGAGGGCTTACAGCACGGTACAAGACAAACACAACGCTTGTAGACCCTTTATGAAACCCTTATAAGAACTCCGTGTGAACCACTTATCAGACCCTTTGCGAACCCCTTAGAAAAGAAAATTATGAATCCCTTACGAAACCCTCTATGACTCCCTGATAAAAGCATCTGTGAATCCCTTATAAAAACCTTTGTGACACCCGCTTAGAACCCTTTAAGAAAACCCTTAAAGCCCCTTTACGCCCGTTATGGATCCCTTATAAACCCCTTTATGAACTCGTTATATACTCTGTATGAAGCCCTTATATACGCCTGTTAAGAACCACATGCAAAACCCTTTATGCCTACCATAAACCCTAAACCCTAAACCCACCAAACCCTAAAACCTAAACCCTACACCCCTACACCCCCTTAAAGCCTAAACCCCTTAAACCAAAAATGCCCTTGAAGATTCACAGGAGCTGCGAACCCCGCCCCTCCAGATCCCTGCAGAGTGGAAGCCAATCAACCATCCCTTGTATAACCGCCCCATTCGAAAAAAAAAATGGCATTAGGAGAAACAAGCACCACCAGGGCCCCCGGCGGTTTGCAATGACCATGCCGGGGTAGCGTAGGAGGCGCTTCACGTAGAAGGGTGGCACCATGAAATTGAAAACCTGGCTCGGAAGGCTCACCAGAACCCTATAAGGGTTTAGGGTTAGGGGTTTAGGGTTTAGGGTTTGTGTGCGCTGGTTTCAGTCTTCTGTGTTGAGAGGTTCTGTGGTTTCTTGGGGTTCTGTCTGGAAGGGTTCTGCTTGTTTGCCGGTTCGGGTGTGCGGTTTCTATAAGTGAATTAGGTTTTGTAGGGTTTTCTGGTAGGCTGACTTGAAAACCCGGCCGTGAACTGTGAAGCTTTTAGGATCTCGATGGATTCCTAAATAATTACAAATTCTATTTCGGGGGTTCCTCCTTGTTGTAATTATAGTATAATGGGCCGCAAAACCCGATTCTAATTATTAAGGCCCCTAAATTATGGTTTCAGCGCTCCAGGCTCTAGGCTTGAGGGTTTTGGGCTGTGGGGCCACGTAAACATGACAATCAGGAGCCGAAAATCCATAACGGATGCCCATGAAATATGACCTACCATAATATGCTGAAAAATTGTACTTTATATAACTTATAATGTGTGCATAGTGTGGAAAAGCGATACACAATATTTATTACTACAGGCTTCGACTCCTCAACTGAAAGCAACTGCTCCGACTTCGGGTTTAGGACTAAGAAAGTTCACGGTTTCGTGCGGAAGGCAACCTTCCTAACCCTAAACCCTAAACCCTAAACCCTAAACCCTAAACCCTAAACCCTAAACCCTAAACCCTATTGATGACTCACGCCTGCCATCGCCCGTCATTATGATGCTCCTTCACTGCGCCTGCCGGCTCAACCATCACCCAACCCACCCCACCCTAGTACCTTCAACCCTAAACTCCTATGTAAGTAGACCCATACAACCCTAAATCCCGAAACCCGAAGCCGCAACTCACCGAAGTTGCAGCTTTGTAACATTGAACATCTTGGAGCATACGTAACGACGCTTGAGCTCGACCTCGCCAGGGCGTGGAAGCGGCTAGCAGTAGGAGCAGCTGCAGTAATTAGCTGGAGCACAATCGTCATAGTAGTAGTAATAGTAGTAGTCGTCGTAGTAGTAGTAGTAATAATAATAATAATAGTCGCGGTGGTGGTGGTGGTGGTGGTGGTGGTGGTGGTGGTGGTGGTAGTAGCAGCAGCAGTAGCCGCAGTGTCGTCGTGGTCATCGGTGTCGTAGTGGTAGGCGTAGTCGTAGTAGTAGTAGTAGTAGTAGTAGAAGAAGTAGTAGAAGTAGTAGAAGTAGTGGAAGTAGAAGTAGTAGTAGTAGTAGTAGTAGTCGTAGTCGTAGTCGTAGTCGTAGTAGTAGTAGTAGTAGTAGTAGTAGTAGTAGTAACAGTAGTACCAGTAGTACCAGTAGTAGTAGCAGTAGTAGTAGTAGTAGTAGTAGTAGTAGTAGTAGTACCAGCAGTACCAGTAGTACCAGTAGTACCAGTAGTACCCGTAATACCCGTAGTCCCAGTAGTAGTAGTAGTAGTAGTAGTAGTAGTAGTAGTAGTTTCGTCGTGCTAGCAGCAGCGGCAGTAACAGTAGCGGAGGTAGCCGGAGCGGTGCGGTCAGTAGCAGCCGTCGTCGTAGCAGTAGCAGCGATTCCGCAATGGGGCCTCAATGGCTCCAACAGGCTCTTGGGGCATGCTACGATAGTATAGCAGGCTTCAAGAACCGAAAGTACAATACCATCAGGTTCTCCAACCTCTATAGTATACTTCCCCTAAACCCTAAACCGTTCGGGAAACGTCTTTTCACCTTCAGGGCCTCTTCAACTGCGGGAAGCGGTCCTTCCAAGGAGTCGACTTCCACTTCAGCGCGGTGTCGTGGCGCACCTGCACTAGAAAGAGCTCGGGATTTAGGGGCCTAAACCCTAAACCCTATACAAGAAAGAGCTTGGGGTTTAGAGAGGTTGAGGTTTGAAAATTTTGGGGTGAACAGTCAGGAATTCAGGTGTTGAGCTTGGGTTGGAGGTTTGGTGTGGGGTTCTAAACTCAGAGTTCGAGGTGTTAACCCAGGGTTTGGGGTTTTGGAGCTTACTGCAGTCTGCGGATTGTGTAGAGTCCACGCATGGTGATACCCGAGACCCTAGACCCCAAAACCTGAACCCTCAGCCCTAGACCCTATAGACCCTAAACGCAAACCCCTAAACCCCCTAAACCCTAAACCTCGAAGCTACAGCTTGGGGCGTCACTCTGGTGCTCTACTGCACCATATCGGCACAAGATGCACAAGCCATCTGAGCTTTGCCACGACAAACCCTAAAAATCCTAAGCAACCCCTGAACCCCCTAACCCTAAGCATTCATCCTGGCAAGAAATACGTACTTCCGAAGATGACAGAGTCCAAGGTTACAAGTATGGGCCCCTAATATGGACCCTTAGGCCTTTCAGGGTCCCTTCAGGGTACATATAGGGTATATAGTAGGTGTATAAGGGTCCACCTTAGACAAAACCGAGAAGAAGGCCTAAACTTTAAACCCCTAAACCCCCAAACCCTAAACCCTAAACCCTAAACCCAAAACCCTAAACCCGAAAGGAGAGGAGGACTACGAAGAAGAGGGCCTTCAGGGTCTGAATGGGATCTGGGAGTAGATCCTGTCAAAATTTGCGGAGGGACTCTTTGGAGGATCATCTAAAGCCTCAAAGAGCTTTAGGGTTTAGGAATTAGGGTTTAGGAATTAGGGTTTAGGCTTTATGGGTTTAGGGGTTTAGGGGTTTAGGGGTTTAGGGTTTGGGGTTTAGGGCTTTGGCTTTAGGGTTTAGGGGTTTAGGGTTTGTCTAAACACCCCGAAACACCGAAGACCCGAGAGAGCACTGATTCCTAACCCTACTCGCCCCAATTCCAGGAACCATCGACCCCCTAGAACCCATCAATCTCGCACAACCACCACTTAAAATCGTACTTTTGTAGAACCCAGCCCCTACGCCCGAAAAAACGCTGATTCTTATATACATCCCGCAAAGCCCTCAAAATCCATAAACCCCATGATCTTAGAGACCCACTGTCATCGCTATCAGAAGCAAGTCATCAGGCGTTTTCCAGATTGCCTTTACCCTTAAACTGCTTCTTGTTCTGGATGCGAGCCCCTGTGTCTAAAAATAAAAAACCCAATGCCTAAACCTCGAAAGCCTGAATTCCCTAAACCTTAACATCCCAAACCGTAACCCCCCCCCCCTCCCCACTTCCACCAGATTCGGCCAAATGAACGTGTGAAACCCCATAAAACCCTTCACCGTGACATTTTTTGGGGGTTTTGGGGTTTAAGCTTTGGGGTTCAGGGTATCACGGGCCCCTTGTGGGCTCAAGGTCATTTATAGGGCCTTGGTAATTGAATTGGGTTTTGGCGTGAATTTTGTAAACTCACAAACCAGGGGCGGATCCAGGCAACGAGTCCCTGAACCCCAAAACCCTAAACCCTGAACCCTGAACCCCTAAACCCTAAACCCTAGACCCCTAAACCCCTAACCCCTAAACCCTACACCCTGAACCCTACTCCAGCCTTGGCAGGGGCTTGCGCAACCTGCTCCGGTGGATGAGGCTTCGACAATTTTTTGGTTTACGGTTTAGGGTTTCGGCTTGCAGACTTCGTTTTAAGGCCTCGGGTTGAAGATTTCGGTTTCCGGGTTTAGGGTTGAAGATTTCGGTTTCCGGGTTTAGGGTTGAAGACTTCGGTTTAGGGTTTCGCGGGGGGAAGTTTGGGTTCGTAGTGCTTCGGGTATGTGGTTGGGGGAGTGGGGTGCAGGGCTGATAGGCTTTAGCTTCGCTTTTGAGCTGTAGGCTACGAAAACCTAAACCCTGAACCGAACGAAGGCTTTTCTGGTTCAACGCCCCCCTTAAGGCTTCCTTTAAGGCTTCCTTTAAGGCTTCCTTTAAGGTTCCTGTAAGGCTTCCTTTAGGAGGAGCCTGGGCGTCTCAAGGAGAAGCCCGTGAGCAGCCTCACGAGCCCATGGAGCACACTAAGATGCAGAAAGTGCTGTACTCTGAGCTACTACGGGTTTAGGGTTTAGGGTTTAGGGGTTTAGGGTTTAGGGTTTGGGGGTTTAGGGTTTAGGGTTTGGGGACTTCTTGGTTCTTATCATAAACCCTGGAATTATAGGCAACTATATAGGGACCTACTGATCCAAACCCGCACTCTGTCACAAAGCACCCACAACTAAGCCCTCGACCTCGAACCCAAAACCTTCAATGTCGAACGGTGAAGGCTACAGGCGGGCTCAAAACCCCGAAGCCCGCACCCTAAACCCTAAACCCTAAACCCTAAAACCCTAAACCCTAAACCCTAAAGCATCCTTACAGAACCCTTCGAAGCAAGCAAACCTAAAACCCTCATACCCGAAGTCGAAGACACTTAACATGAAAGCCCCCTACAGCAAGCCTCCGTGTTGTTTAGGGCTTGAAGCTTAAGGTTCAAGGTTCAGCGTCTCGGTTCTGCGGATTTTGGGTTCAGGGTTTAGTGGGATTAGGGTTTAGGGCTTAGGGGGATCAGGGTTCAGGGTTTAGGGGGATTAGGGTTTAGGGTTTAGGGGGTTTAGGGTTTAGGGATTAGGGGTCAGGGCTTTCTGTAGCCCCCGTAACCTGCCCACACCGCTCGCCCGAGCCTTACTTTTCCATCCTCCGCCCTTGCCGCTTCCGCCTTTGCCCATGGCTGGAGCTGTGGACCTAACGGATTTGGCGTGGAGAGCTTTGGGTTTAGGGCTTAGGGTTGAGGGTTTAGGGTTTAGGGCTTAAAGTTTAGGGGTTTAGGGCTTAGGGTTGAGGATGTCGTGTTTGGCATTTAGGGTTTACAGCTTTTGGTTTGGAGTTTGAAACGTTTAGCACTTAGGCACTTAGGGTTTGGGTTTCAGGATTTGGGATGTAGGGTTTGGATTGCTTCGGGCTTCGGGTTTTACATCTGGGGTGTAGGGTTTAGCGTCGGCTTAGGTGCTTGGAGCTTTAAAGTTTAGGGTTTAGGGTGTCGTTCGCGGGGTTTAAAGTTCTTGTACGTAGTGTTTTTTCAGGATAGGGTTCTTTAAGCTTATCAGGATGTGGC